TGGGGCATAGGGGGACGCAGAGAGACGTGGCGGGGGTGCAGGGGGAACACACGGGGAGCTGTGGGGACATAGGGGGACGTGAGGGTGGGATGGGTGGGATGCAGGGGTTGCAGAGGAGATGTGGGTGGGACCCAGGGGGATGCAGGGGGACACGAAGGGGGTTCACACAGGGTGCAGAGGGGCACGGGAAGGACACAGAGGGACACGGGGACACGCGTGTCTCACCCGTGGGTGTCTCGGCAGTGGCGCCTACTCGCTGACGCTGCGGGACCTGGCGGTGCAGGCACTGGGGCTCCGGGCCCTGCAGGAGATCAGCAGCGGGATGGTGCTGGTGCACCACAACCCCCAGCTCTGCTTCCTCCAGAAGGTGCCCTGGCACAGCATCTTCCGCAACCCCCGCCAGCGCCTCTTCCAGACCCACAACAAGCCCCCCGAGCAGTGCGGTAAGAGGAGCCCATGGGGGTGGAGGGGGATGTTGGACCCCCCCCCTTGCTGACAAACCCCTGGTGCTGATGGTGCCCCCCTTGCAGAGAGCGAGGGGCTGGTTTGCTTCCACCTCTGTGCCCAGGGGCACTGCTGGGGCCCCGGCCCCACCCAGTGCGTGGCCTGCGAGCGGTTCCTGCGCGGCCAGGAGTGCGTGGCCTCCTGCAACCTCCTGGATGGGTGAGTGGAGAGCCTCGGGAGCGCCAAACAGAGTCCCCCCACGCACTGCAGGGTGGGGCTGGGACTCCATCCCCGCGCCTTTGCCCTGCAGAGCCGTGCGGGAACACGCCAACGGGACGCGGTGCCTGCCGTGCCACCCCGAGTGCCAGCCCCAGAACGGCACCGAGACCTGCTTCGGATCGGTGAGGACAGGGACACGCACGGGGTGGGGTGGGGGTGCCCCCAGACACCCTCAACCCACCCTGGTTCCTGCAGGATCCAGACCAGTGCGTGGCCTGTGCCCACTACAAGGATGCCCAGCAGTGCGTGCGGCGCTGCCCCAGCGGCGTCAAGGCCGACGCCTCCTTCGTGCCCGTCTGGAAATACCCGGACGAATTCGGCGTGTGCCAGCTCTGCCCCACCAACTGCACCCACTCGTGAGTTGGGGGTCCCTAGCCAAGGAGGGGGTGCTGGCAGCTGCAGGGGGCTGCTGACAGCAGGGGGCTGCACCCTGTGTCCCCAGGTGCACGATCCGCGACGAGGACGGATGCCCCGTGGACCAGAAGCCAAGGTAGGAGCGTGGCCGTGCTGTGCCACCGCCGCTCTGGGTGCCGGGGGTCCCCCCACGCTGATGGGCTCTTGCACGCAGCCAGGTGACGTCCATCATCGCCGGCGTGGTGGGGGCTCTGCTGGTCATCGTCCTGCTCCTCATCACCGTCATCTGCGTCAAGCGCCGGCGGCAGCAGGAGCGCAAGCACACCATGCGGCGGCTGCTGCAGGAGACCGAGGTGGGCATCTCCCGGGGGGCAGGAGTGCACCCTCAGCGCCTGGGGGGCATCAGGAGCCTGGCTCCCCTCACCCCTTCGTGCCCCACAGCTGGTGGAGCCGCTGACGCCCAGCGGGGCCCTCCCCAACCAAGCCCAGATGAGGATCCTCAAGGAGACGGAGCTCAAGAAAGTGAAAGTTTTGGGTTCTGGCGCTTTTGGCACCGTCTATAAGGTGAGGAATGGGGATAGCACAGTGGGACGTGACCCTCGCTGCTCTGCATCCCCTCACCTGCTTGTCCCCACCTCAGGGCATCTGGATCCCCGATGGGGAGAGCGTGAAGATCCCAGTGGCCATCAAAGTCTTGCGGGAGAACACATCGCCCAAAGCCAACAAGGAGATCCTGGATGTGAGTGTGGCCACGGCGCTGCAGGGGAACGGGGCTGGCAGTGACCCCTGCCCACCCTGACCCCCCTGCTGCCCACAGGAGGCCTATGTGATGGCAGGGGTGGGCAGCCCCTACGTGTCCCGGCTGCTGGGCATCTGCCTGACCTCCACGGTGCAGCTGGTGACGCAGCTGATGCCCTACGGCTGCCTCCTGGACTACGTGCGGGAGAACAAGGACCACATCGGCTCCCAGGACCTGCTCAACTGGTGTGTGCAGATCGCCAAGGTAGGACAGGGGACCTGGGCAGCTCTGGGGGGGTCCTGGGGGAGACCAGGGACAGCTGGACATGTGCCACCTCCAGGGGATGAGTTACCTGGAGGAGGTGAGACTGGTGCACCGGGACTTGGCCGCTCGCAACGTCCTCGTCAAGAGCCCAAACCACGTCAAGATCACCGACTTCGGGCTGGCGCGGCTGCTCGACATCGACGAGACCGAGTACCACGCTGATGGTGGCAAGGTGGGGCTTGGGGACTCGGGGCAGCAATGCTCCCCTCAGTGACAGCCACCCCCCGGTCCTGCTCACCTCTCCCTCCGCCCTGTCCCAGGTGCCCATCAAGTGGATGGCGCTGGAGTCCATCCTGCGCCGGCGCTTCACGCACCAGAGCGACGTCTGGAGTTACGGTGCGTCAGGGTGTCCCCGCCCCGGGGTCCTGGGGGGTCCCAGCGCGCTGCTCACCCCCACAGCCGTCCCCTCCCTCCAGGTGTCACCGTGTGGGAGCTGATGACGTTTGGGGCGAAGCCGTACGACGGGATCCCTGCCCGGGAGATCCCCGACCTGCTGGAGAAGGGCGAGCGGCTGCCGCAGCCGCCCATCTGCACCATCGACGTCTACATGATCATGGTGAAATGTACGGGGAGGCTGCCCGGGGACAGGGAGGGGACAGGGCGTGGTGTCACCCTGCTCCTGGCCCTGACAGCACCCGGCTCTGCTGCAGGCTGGATGATCGACTCCGAGTGCCGGCCCAAGTTCCGGGAGCTGGTCACCGAGTTCTCCCGCATGGCCCGCGACCCCCAGCGCTTCGTGGTCATCCAGGTACGCAGATCCCCGGGGTCCTGTCCCCTCGCCGGTGCCCTGGGGCGGGCACTGACCGGTGTGACCCCCCCAGAACGACCTGGTGGGGCTGCCCGGCTCCATGGACAGCACCTTCTACCGAGCGCTGCTGGATGAGGAGGACATGGACGACCTGGTGGACGCCGAGGAGTACCTGGTGCCTCACCACGGCTTCTTCAGCACCGACACCTCCACCACCACCTACCGCAGCCGCATCTCCTCCATGCGGGTACGTGGGGAGGGCCGGGAGGGAGCTCCCAGTCCTTCCACCCGTGAGGGGCGAAGCGCCGGGATGGTCCTCGGGGTGGGCTCAAGTGCCCGACTCCGTGTCCTCTCCCACTCTCAGAGCACGGCGGAGTCTCCAGCCAAGGTGGAAGAGGGCGAGGGCTTGGCCGCCTTCTCCTTCCCCGCCCAGGGCCTGGCGGAGGGCCCAGAGGGCCCAGTCCCCGAGGTGCCAGATGGGGACAAGGTGGCCCTGCAGAGCCCCCCGGGGCGGGAGCCCGGCACCCTGCCCCGCTACAGCGAGGATCCCACCGGGCTGACGGCCAAGGACGGAGAGGACCCCGAGTGCTTCACCGTCCCAGCCCCCCACAGCACCATGCCAGGTAGGGAGGGCACAGCTGGATCCTTGGGGAGGTGGTGGGGGGCGTCTGCCTGTCCCTAACGTGTCACTCACCCCGCAGAGTACGTGAACCAGGCTGGGGAACGCCCGCCCCGCGCCCCCCCGTCCCCGCCGGACAAGCCCAAGGGGCACCAGGGGAAGAACGGGCTCATCAAGGACCCCAAGAACTCCTTCCCAGGGCCCTTCGGCCACGCTGTGGAGAACCCCGAGTACCTGGCACCCCACAGCGCCCCCACCCCTGGCTCCTTCAGCCAGGCCTTCGACAACCCCTACTACTGGAACCAGGACCCCGCCAAGGCTGGTGGCCCCGAGGGTGGCCCCGGCACGACGCCCACGGCCGAGAACCCCGAGTACCTCGGCCTGGCCGGCCCCGACACCACGGCCGTGTAAGAGACACCCCCAACTTCACCAAGGCAGCTCAGGGAGGGACGAGCCACGGCCACAGGGCTGGGGGTCCACCCCCTGTGCCCGAGGGTGGCACCGCTCACGCAGGGCTGGGAGAGCCCAGGACGCTGTGGGGCAGCAGAGTGGGGACACAGGGGTCACCCTCGGGGCACCCACAAGCTGTGGGTGGTGCCCGGAGCAGCCCAGGGAGCTCGGAGCCAGCACGGCCTGGAGAAGGACAGAGCCTCTGCCATGCCCCCCACTCCAGGGCTGTCCCAGTGCCTGGGACACGTGGACTTGCACTGAGGGCAGCTGGACTGAGAGCAGTCCCGGCTGCTCCGGGATTCTTCGGAAGCACCGGGATGTATATTTGATAATTGTACATTGGTTGTTTTTTCTACTCTCGTGGTCTCTTTGGTTTCCTCTTCTCCGTCGGATTCAGCTCTGTCTCCCAAGGACCAACATGTCACACCCCTTCCCCTTTTCCTTCTTTTTTCCCCCTTTTCCCTCTCTTTTTCCCCTTTTTCCCTTCCCTTTCCCCCTTTCCCCTCCTTTTTTCCTCTTTTTCCCTTCCCTTTCCCACTTTTCCTTTTTCCTTCCCTTCCCCATTTCTCCTCCTTTTTTCCTCTTTTTCCCTTCCCTTTGCCCCTTTTCCCTCCTTTTCCCTCCTTTTTTCCTTCCCTTTCCCCCTTTTCCTTCCTTTTTCCCTTCCCTTTCCCCCTTTTCCTTCCTTTTTCCCTTCCCTTTCCCCCTTTTCCTTCCTTTTTCCCTTCCCTTTCCCCTTTTTCCCTTCCCTTTCCCCATTTCCCCTTCCCTTTCCCCTTTTTCCCTTCTCCTTTTTTCCCCATTTCCTTTCCCCTTTCCCCTCCTTCCCATTCCTTTTTCTGTTTCCTTTTCCCCTTCCCCCTTCCCTTTTTCCCTTCTCCATTCAATTTTCCCCTTCTTTCTTCTCCCCCTTTCCCTTCCTTTTCCCCTTTTCCTCTCCCACTCCCCCATTTTTCCCCCCTTCCCTTCCTCTCCCCTCTGTCACCACTCTGAAGGACAAAATTCCTGTCCCAGCCCCCATTCCCGAGGGAGAGCAGAGGAGCCACATTCTCCAGCCTTTATTCCGCCCATTATACACAGTATAGAATAAATAGGGGACCCCCCCCCCCACCCCGAGGCCAAGGGCAGGCTCATTCCAGGCAGGAAGCAGGGCTGGGAGCCTGGGAATGAGCCTGGGAATGAGCCTGGGAATGAGCAGGGGGTGTGAACACACCTGGGCTTCCCCCATGGCCGCCCTGCCTGGGATTAAACAGTGCGAGGGGCTCTAATCATTAACAAATTCCAGGGAATTCACAGCCAGCGGATGGATTCCCTTTGGAATTCCCCTGCTGGCAGCTGCTCCGTCCATGGCAGACCCCCCATTCCCAGGGCATGAGGGAGGGGAGATGCCAACCCCGTGCCCCCTCAGGGAGGAAGGCAAAGGCAGCTTGGAGACCCCCCAAACCACGGCTACACCCCACAGCAGGTGGGGCAGGGGACAGAACAACCCCGGTGCCGCCTGTGCCACAGCTCTGCCCTTCCCAGTGCCACCCCAGGAGGCTCCTGAGCCCCCTGGGCACGCAGGGATTTAAGGGAGGGGGCGAGGGGCAGCCTGGGGGGACCCCGCTGTGCTCGGGGGGCTACAGGATGACGCAGGGGGGGCGGCTGTTGGTGATTTTCTCCAGGGGCTCCCCATTGCGGGCACGGCGGATGGCCTCGATCAGCTGGGGAGACACGGCAGGGCAGGGTCACACGGGGACGGGGACACGGGGACACGGGGATGGGGACACGGGGATGGGGACACGGGGACGGGGACATGGGGATGGGGACATGGGGATGGGGACACGGGGATGGGGACACGGGGATGGGGACACGGGATGGGGACATGGGGGATGGGGACACAGGGAGGGGGACATGGGGGATGGGGACACGGGGATTGGGGACACATCCCAGCCACAGCGAGGGGCTCCCCTCTGTCCCCTCTACCCCTGCAGAGGAGGGGGAACAGCTCCAGAGGGTGACAAAATGTGGGCAGATGCCACCACAGGAGGGGCTCCCTGCAAAGCAAACCCCCTCCCCAAAGCCCAGCCTGGCTGAGCCGGGACCCCCGGGGGCACTCACGTCCTTCTCGTAGGGAAAGCCGCCGTTCTCCAGCTTGGAGAAGACCAGCTGCCCGTTGATCTCGATCTCAAAGGCACCTGAGGGCACACACAAAGTCTGACCCTGAGCTCTGTGCCCCCCAAAAACATCCCCACCCCGCCAGCACCGTTTTGCAGACCCCAAACCTGCTGAGGGGAGCAACCAGGAGGGTTTAACCCACCCCAAACCCCCAGCACGGCACTGGGGGTGGCCCGGGGTGTCCCCCCCGAGGCCGAGGCTGCTGTGGGGTCTCACCGGTGCCCCCCAGGCGTGACTCGATCTCGATGTCAGGGTACTCGTCCCGCACGGCGCTCGCCAGCTCCTGGTACGTGGCCTCGAAGCCGCAGGGCTCGCTGGGGAGGGGGGAGCGGTCTGAGGAGGGGTTGGGGTACGGGGACCCCCCAAACTAAAGAGCCCCCCCAGCCTGTACCCCCCCGCTGCCCCCTGCACCCCCAATTCCCAACACCCACTTCAGGAGCCCTCCCAAAACCCCCCAGCCCCCTACCCCCCCATAACCCTGTGGCCCCTCAATACCTCCTCAGCCCCCCCACCCTGCAGAGCCCCCCAAATCCTCCACAACCCCTTCCTCAGCCCCCCAAATCCTTCACAACCCCCTCCTCAGCCCCCCAAATCCTTCACAACCCCCTCCTCAGCCCCCCAAATCCTCCACAACCTCTTCCTCAGCACCCCAAATCCTCCACAACCCCTTCTTCAGCCCAATTCCCCCACCCTGGCAGAGACCCTCAACCCCCTCCTCAGCCCCCCAGCCCCTCTATCCTCTCCTCAGCCTCTCCCTTCTCTCCGCAGTCCCCTCCGCGCCTGAACCCGCCGCACGGGTCACCCCAATTCCCCCCGTTTGTGCTCCCGGTACCGCTGTGGGCCCCACCCCGGGGGGCTCCCACCCCCGAAGGCCCCGGGATCCCCTCGGTCCATCCGCCCCCGGGCCCCCCGCGGCCGCGGCGCTCACCAGTACTCCACCACGATGCGGACCCGCCGCTCGGCCCCGTTCCCGGCCCCGTTCCCGGTCCCGTCCCCGGCCCCGCCGCTCATGGCCCCGGTGCCGCCGCTTCCGGGTGCGGTCACGTGACGCGGCGCTTCCGGCCGCTCTGCCCCGCTCGTCTCGTCTGCTCCGGGAGCGCGGGAGGACCCAGAGGGACCCTCAGGGACCCTCAGGGACCCTCAGTGACCCAGAGAGACCCTCAGTGACCCTCAGTGACCCCCGGGGGACCCAGAGAGACCCTCAGGGACCCTCAGTGACACTCAGTGACCCTCAGTGACCCTCAGTGACCCCCGGGGGACCCAGAGAGACCCTCAGGGACCCTCAGGGACCCCCGGGAGGACACAGAGTGACCCAGAGTGACCCTCAGTGACCCTCAGTGACCCCCCCAGAGTGACCCTCAGTGACCCCCGGGGGACCCAGAGTGACCCAGAGTGACCCTCAGTGACCCTCAGTGACCCCCCCAGAGTGACCCTCAGTGACCCCCGGGGGACCCAGAGAGACCCTCAGTGATCCAGAGTGACCCTCAGCGACCCACGGGAGGACCCAAAGTGACCCTCAGTGACGGCCGGGGCACCCAGAGTGACCCTCAGTGACCCTCAGGGACCCAGAGAGACCCTCAGTGACCCTCATTGACCCCCGGGAGGACCCAGAGTGACCCTCAGTGACCCCCAGGAGGACCCAGAGTGACCCTCAGCGACCCCCAGGAGGACACAGAGTGACCCTCAGCGACCCCCAGGAGGACACAGAGTGACCCTCAGTGACCCCCGGGGGACACACACTGACCCGAGGTCACCTCTACTGACCTAAAGTGACCCAAACTCCCCCTGTGTCACCTGCAGTGACCCCCTGAACCCCTCCGTGGGGACACCTCTAGGGACTCTGTGACCCCATGGCACCCCTAGACCCCACTGGGGACTTCCAGACCCCACAGGGGACACCCCACAGGGGACACCCACAGGCAACACGCAGAGCCCCTAAGTGACCCCACATCCCACTGCGTTCCCATATCCCAAATACCGCCCCCAACCCTCCTGGAAGGGCCCCTGACCTGCAGAGAACCCCATGACCCCCCCACCCCATGGTCCCACCTGCAGGGGTCCCTTAGGGGACAATGGGGACATCCCCCTCCATGGGACCCTTCCAGCCCCACTTTGGGGGCTCTGGGAGCATCACCTGGGGGTCTGTGGGATCCGCACCCCCAGAACATCCCAGGGCACCGTGTCCCCCCCCCTCCACTGCCCCAGGGGTCACCCCGGTGCATTGTGGGCAACTCCCCATCACCACCTCGGGGGGTGGCGGGAGGTGCCTTTGGGGGGTGCAGCCCCCCGGGGCCGGGCTGGACACCCCACGGGGGGCCGCTGGGGGTTTGGGGGGCCGCTGTGGCTGTGGGTGGGGGGCCGGGGCCGCCCGGGGCGCGGTGATGTCAGCGGGGGCGGGGGCAGGCGCAGGTAGATAAGGGCGGGGAGAACAGGAATCCCCGGTCCGCCGGGAGCTGCGGGACGCGGCGGGAGCTGCAGGTACGAGCGGGACCGGCCCGGGGGCTCCTGGAGCCGGGGGGGGTTCGCTGCTCATCCCGGGGGGTCATTCCATCCTGCCGGGAACGAGCCCGGAGCTTTCCTTCGCTTCCCTGCGCCCCTTCCCGCCTTCCTCCCGGCTCTTCCTCCTCCTCCTCACCCATCCCGCCGCGCCGCCTCTGCACCCATGGGTGCCCTGTCCCCCCACCCACAGCTGGGGTCCTTCTCCTTAATCCGGTGGTCCCGGCTCGCTGTCCCCTGTCCCGGTGACCCTGCAATGCCATCCCCTCACGCTGGTGGCTCTGCCATCCCGTCCCTCAGCCCTGCACCCTCCATCCCGCGGCCCTGCTGGCCCTGGGGCCCATCCCGGTGCTCCTGACCCCCTCCAAGCCCCCACCCCATAACCCTGGTGGCCCCTGTCCCTTCACCCAGAGCCCTGTTTGTCCCCTGAGTGTCCCCACCCTGGGTGTCCCCACCCTGCCACGGCCACCAGGACAGGGCTCACCCCGGGGTGACCTGAGGCCACAGGGTTGGTGGCAGGGCCGTGTCCCAGCCCCAGGGCCCTGTCTGTCACCTCCCCTCTGTGTCCCCTGCTGTGTGTCACCCTGCCGGACCCCTGGCTGTCCCCGTGTCCCCACATCACCCCGGGGTCTGCCCAGGGAGCGGGGACAGGGCTGGCACAGGCGGGATGGGATGGGGCAGAGGGGATGCAGGATGGGGACAGGGACAGGGATGGGGACAGGGACATGGCTGGGACAGGGACATGGCTGGGACAGGGATGGGGACAGGGATGGGGACAGGGACGTGGCTGGGACAGGGATGGGGACAGGGATGGGGACACGGTAGGGACAGGGATGGGGACAGGGGCACGGCAGGGATGGGGACAGGGACATGGCTGGGACAGGGATGGGAACAGGGACAGTGACAGGGCAGGGACAGGGATGGGGACAGGGACATGGTTGGGACAGGGACAGGGCTGGGACAAGGACAGGGATGGGGACAGGGGCAGTGACAGGGACAGGGACAGGGACAGGGACAGGGACAGGGACATGACAGGGATGGGGACAGGGGCAGTGACAGGGACAGGGACACTGCAGGGATGGGGACGGGGACATGACAGGGATGGGGACAGGGACACTACAAGGACAGGACGGGGACAGGGACATGACTGGGACAGGGACAGGACGGGGACAGGGACACTGCAGGGACAGGGACAGGACGGGGACAACATCAGCCCTGCCCAGCCGTGGACTTGGCCCCGAGCGGCGGCGGGAGGCGGGCACGGGGCCGGGCAGCGGGCGAATGATTAACGCGGCTCTGCCCGGTGTCCCGGGACCGCCGGGTGCCACCGTGGATGCCACCGTGGATGCCACGTGTGTGTGTTCCGTGTGCCACCCCGGAGCCGCTACCGGAGCCGGGCCGGTGTCCGGTGGCTCCGCACGGTGGCACCGCGTGGGCGGCGGCACCGGGGCGTGGGTGGGGACCGGGGGGGCCGTGCCAAGCTCGGGGGGTTCCCACGGCGGCTCCCTCGCCCCCGGCTGCCGGCGCGGCCGCCCGGGCCCGGATGCCAGGGCGGTGATGTGGAGCTGGGAGCGGCTGCCAGAACTGGTTTGGCCGGACCCGAGGAGGTGTTTGGGCTGAGCCCACGCTCGGCTTCCTTCTCTCCTCGGCGCCGGCACGGCTCGGCCTGGCAGAGCTCGGCCTGGCAAAGCTCGGCCTGGCAAAGCTCAGCACAGCATCACCCGGTGCTCCCAGTGGGTCCCACTTGGGATGTGGGGGATTTTTGGGGGGTCTCATAACGGGCTGTGCTCACCACGGACAGGACTGGGGGTACGGGGACACCCTTGGCAGCTCAGCCAGACCCCCAGGGCCTGTCCGGGCACCAGGAAAACACCCCCGGGTGGGTGCCAGGGGTGGGAGCCTGTGTGGTGCCCTCACCTGTGTGGTGCCCTCACCTGTGTGGTGCCCTCACCTGTGTGGTGTCCTCACCTGGCCACGGCCCCCCAAATGTAGCCGTGACCCCCCCGAGGGAACCAGTACGGACACACGGAGCCAGATCCCCTCTCTCCCCCTACAGATAATGCCATGGAGGGGGGGGCTCAGCAGAGCAGCCTCTGGGAGCCCCCCGAGCAGGATGGGGGTCCTGGTGAGCGGGATGGGGGCGAGGGGCCGCCCGAGGTCCGGCGCTCCCAGCCCCTCTTCATCCACGGCAGCAGGTGGGTGTGAGGCTGGGGGGGCTGGGGAGGGGAAGGGGGTGCTCAGGGGGGTCACAGGGGGTGTAGAGCTCACCCCCCCTGTGCCCACAGCCGGCAGCCGCCGCAGGAGGAGCCACGAGCGTCGTCGCTGCCCAGCATCCCCAACCCCTTCCCCGAGCTCTGCAGCCCCTCCAACTCACCCATCCTGAGCAGCCCGGCCCTGGGGCAGGGACCCCCCCGCGAGGGCACCCCCCATGTGAGTCAGGGGCTGGGAAGGGACGGGGGGCTGAGGTTTGGGACAGGGACACCCTGCATGGGCTGGGGAGGGGGTTCTTGGGGCAGGGACCCCCCCATGAGGGCACCAGCGGGAGTCAGGGGGTTGGGGAGAGGGGAGGGTCTCATCTCTGGGGCAGGAACGTCCTCCCATGGAGGGTCTGGGAAGGGGTCTCAGCCCCTCTACAGAGATCCCACCCTCCTGAGGCAGGGGCTGAGGGTTGGAAAGAGGGACCTGAACCCTGGGGAAGGAACCAGGTCTGAAATGAGTCAGAGCTCGGGAAGGGGGGGTCCCATCCCTGTGACAGAGGGGGGGATCCCACCCCTGCGACAGGAATCCCCTCCCACACCAGCTGGGCAGCAGGAGGTGGGGTGGGTGTTCTGTGGCTCAGCGGGGTCCCCTCGTGCCAGGGGCGGCCCTGACACGCCCTGTGCCCTGTCCCCTGTGCCCAGGTGGTGAAGGTGTTCGGCGAGGACGGCGTGTGCCGCTCGCTGGAGGCCTCGGCGGGCACGACGGCGCGGCAGCTCTGCGAGACGCTGGTGCGCAGGACGCGGGCGCTGCACGACCACAGCTGGGCCCTGGTGGAGCTGCACCAGCACCTGGCCCTGGGTGAGCGGCCGTGGGGGCACAGCGGGGGCACTGACCCCCAAACCCTGCTGACCCCCTGTCCCCCCCAGAGCGCTGCCTGGAGGACCACGAGTCGGTGGTGGAGGTGCAGAGCTCCTGGGCCCCGGGTGCCGACAGCCGCTTCGTGTTCCGCAAGAACTTCGCCAAGTACGAGCTCTTCAAGAGCAACGCGGTAGGTGGGCGCCCTCTGCCAGCCCCCCGTGGGGACCCTGAGCACCCAAGGGTCCCCGCTGAGCCTCGGTCCCCCAGCAGCTGCTGTTCCCCGAGGTGATGGTGTCCAGCTGCCTGGAGGCCAACAAGAGCATGGCGCACTCCGAGCTCATCCAGGTATGGGGCCGTGCCCCGGGGACCCCGCCGTGCCCCGGGGACCCCGCCATGCCCCGGGGACCCCACCATGCCCCTCAGCCCTCGTGTCCCCCCCAGAATTTCCTCAACTCCGGGAGCTGCCCTGAGGTCCAGGGCTTCCTGCACCTGCGGGAGGCCGGCCGCAAGGTCTGGAAGCGTTTCCACTTCTCCCTGCGCCGCTCGGGGCTCTACTACTCCACCAAGGGCACCTCCAAGGTGAGGGCAGGGGGTTCTGGGGAAAGGGGGGGTGCAGCGGGGCCAACCCTGACACCCCCCACCACCCCCCAGGACCCCCGGCACCTCCAGTACTTCGCCGACCTCACCGAGTCCAACATCTACTACGTGACGCAGGGCAAGAAGCTCTACGGGACGCCCACCGAGTTCGGCTTCTGCATCAAGGTGGGGACGTCCCTGCCCGTGGTGGGGCCACTCCCTGCGCCTCCCCCTCGCCGAGGGCTCTGTGTCCCCTCAGAGCCACCCGGGGCTGCCCCGTGACGGCTCCGGCCTCTCCCGCAGCCCCACAAGGTGCGGAGCGGGGCCAAGGGCCTGAAGCTGCTGTGCAGTGAGGACGAGCAGAGCCGCAGCTGCTGGGTGGCTGCATTTCGCCTCTTCAAGGTGAGCCCCACGCTTGGGGGGACACTGGGGGGGTGGCAGGGGGACGCTGGAGGGAATTGGGAGGGATAACGGGGGCGTTCTGGAGGGTGATGCTGACATGCTGTGCATCCCCCTGCGAACCTTGAGATAAGGAATGCTGGCTCAGAAATGCCGTGGGGTAGGACAGATGTTGAGAGAAAAAGAAAACTGGAAAGCAAGTTTCAAAAGGTGGCCTTGCAAATAAGACAAGATACTTTGGAGAAATAGAACTGTGCAAGATGCATTGTAGTAGGGCCCACAGGGGGTAATTTTAGATGGTTGGCTTTAAGGCATTTACAGCACGGGGTGGCAGAAGCTGAGAGGCCAAGGAACACTTATAATGTATGGTAATTAGGAAATAATTGGCTTCTGATTGTGATGGCGTGAATTATAACATCTGTACTGTCTCAGCCTTCACATGAGACTGAAAATGGAATAAAAGCTTTTAAAACACCTCTCAGTGGCCCCATCTCTGGGTCAGAAAAGGGCTTAAGGTGACAGTGGTGGAAGGACGATGGGGGGACGATTGGGGGACACTGGAGGGATGCTGGGAAGGGGCTGGAGAGATACAAGGGTGGGAATGTGGAGGGGCTCTGGGGGATGCTGGAGGGATGAGCCCATCCCAGCGAAAATGTTTCAGGGTGGGTGTCCCTGTGCCCACGTGGAGTGGGTGCAGAGATCCCCCCCTCTGCACTGGGTGTCCCTGGGTGTCCCTGGGTGTCCCTGGGTGGCTGTGGAGGTCCCTGGGTGTCCCTGGGTGTCCCTGGGTGTCCCCCACCCCACAGCACAGCCCCCACAGCTGACGGAGCTGTTCCCCCAGTACGGGATGCAGCTCTACCGCAACTACCAGCAAGCGCAGGCACGACTGAGCCAACCCCCCTGGATCGGCCCCACGCCCCTGGTGAGTGTCCCCTCCCTGCCCCCGCAGCCCCCGGCCCGTGGGGACCCTCGGGTGACCCCCCTGTCCCCCCCAGCGAAGCGTCTCGGACAACGCGCTGGTGGCCATGGACTTCTCAGGGTGCACGGGCCGGGTGATCGAGAACCCCAGTGAGGTGCTGAGCGTGGCCCTGGAGGAGGCGCAGGCCTGGAGGGTGAGTCGGGGTGCTGGGCAGCGAGGGGGAGTCCCCCTGAGGCCACCCTAAGGTGCCCTCCTTTCTCTGTGTGCCCAGAAGAAGACGACGCACCGGTACAGCCTGCCCGCAGCCTGCCACAGCTCCCCGCTCAGCGCCGGTGAGACGTGGGCTCAGTGCCCAGGGAGGGGCCCTGCCTGGGCAGGGGGTGCCCCCCTCCCCAAATCTGACACCCCACCCCTCTCCTCGCAGCCATCCACCGCACCCAGCCCTGGTTCCACGGGCGCATCTCCCGGGAGGACACCCAGCAGCTCATGGGCCGTCAGGGCTTGGTGGACGGGTACGGCACCCTGGGGTGGGGGGCCGGGGTCCCTGGGGCTCCTGGGGACTCCAGAGAGGTTCAGGAACACGGGGGTTACAGGGTCCTGCACCTCCTGGGGGGATCCAGGACACGTCTGGGGCTGAGGGGGGTGATCCTGGGGGGGTTGTGACTCCCAGGATGTTGCGGGGTTTGGGGGACACAGATTCCCAGAGATGCCAGGGGGTACCGGGCTACTCCCAGGTCTTTCCTAGGAGGTTTGTGGGACCCCATGGGTGACACTGGGAGGGCAGAGGGGACCTGGGGACAGCAGTGACACCGCTGGGCCTCGCAGGGTGTTCCTGGTGCGGGAGAGCCAGAGGAACCCCAAGGGCTTCGTGCTGTCCCTGTGCCACCTGCAGCGCATCAAGCACTACCTCATCCTGCCCGTGAGTGCCAGCGTGGGGCTGGGGGGGCCGGGGGGCGCTGGGGACGGGGGTCCTGACCTGCAGCCCCCCGGCAGAGCGAGGAGGAGGGTCGGCTCTACTTCACCATGGACGACGGGCAGACGCGCTTCGCCGACCTCATCCAGCTGGTGGAGTTCCACCAGATCAACCGCGGCATCCTGCCCTGCAAGCTGCGGCACTACTGCACCTGCGTGGCCCTCTGAGCCCTGGCACGGCACCACCGGAGCCTTTGGCACAGCCTGGCACCACCAGCATGGCAGGGTTTGGCTCGGGCTGGCACTGCTGGCATCCTTCGGCTCGGTCTCACTGCTGACGTGGCACGGCTTGAGACAGCCCAGCACCAATGGCATGGAGCAACTTGGCACAGCCTGGCACCACTGGGATTGTTTGGCACAGCCTGGTCCTGCTGATACGGCACAGATTGGCACAGCTGGGCACCACTGGCGTGGCACAGCTCAGCACAGCCTGGCACTGCTGGCACAGCTTGGCACCAGTGGGATGGTTTGGCACAGTTTGGCACAGTCTGGCACAGTTGGGTGGTATGGCACGGCCTGGCACTGCCAGCATGGCACAGCTCGGCACAGCCCAGCACCAGGACCCCCACACTCAAGCACTTTCTCCCCTCTGCCCTGCAGCACCAGCCCCGAGTGTCCCTGCAGGGGCCTGGCACTCCTTGCCCCACACCAGGGGGGTTTTGGGGTCCCCAGGAGCGGGGTCCCGGGGTGTGGGGGTGAGGGGGGCGCCCATCACCGTGTCCCCCACATCTCCTCGAGGCCAGTTAAACTGGGACATGTTTTATACCAGTGATAATAAAGGTTATTTTTGCAGAGTCCTGCCTCGTTCCTTCCCATCCCCAGAGCCCTCCCAGTGCCAGTGGCACACGGCTGGCAGTGTCCCCATCTCCCACGGTGTCCCCACACCTGGCAGTGTCCCCATCTCCCACAGTGTCCCCACGCCTGGCAGTGTCCCCATCTCCCACGGTGTCCCCACTCCTGGCAGTGTCCCCATCTCCCACGGTGTCCCCACGCCTGGCAGTGTCCCCATCTCCCACGGTGTCCCCATGCCTGGCAGTGTCCCCATCTCCCACGGTGTCCCCACGCCTGGCAGTGTCCCCATCTCCCACGGTGTCCCCATGCCTGGCAGTGTCCCCATCTCCACGGTGTCCCCACGCCTGGCAGTGTCCCCACAGTGCCCCGGGTGCCACACAAAGGCCCCTCTGTGCTGCCCGGGCACCACGTGCGGCTCAGCCACGCGGCCCCGCAAATCCCCGGGAGGGGGGATTATCCCGGGGGGATTACGGGCCCGGATTTGGGGGGGCCGGGGCAGCTGCTATAAAGGCGGGGGGCTGGGGCGGGGGACAGGCCGTGCCATGGCTCCCAGGACGGTGCTGATCACCGGCTGCTCCTCGGGCATCGGGCTGGCGCTGGCCGTGCGGCTGGCCAGGGACAAGCAGCGCCGCTTCCGAGGTGAGCGGGGCGGAGGGACCCCCCAAATCCCCGGGGAGAGCCCGCGGGGGCTGAGCCGCCGGTGCCCGCAGTGATCGCCACCATGAGGAACACGGGCAGGAGCGGGGCGCTGGCGGCGGCGGCGGGGCCGGCGCTGGGCAGGACGCTGGAGATCAAGCAGCTGGATGTGTGCGATGAAGGCTCCATCCGCGCCTGCCTCGACAGCATCCCCGGGCGCCACATCGATGTCCTGGGTGAGCACCGGGAGCCCTGTCCCGCTGTGACCCTCCGTGCTGGGGGCTGTCCAGCCAAGATTGTCCCCGTGCCATTTGTGGGGACTGTTTGTGCTCCCAGCGCTGGCACCCGCCTTGCCAGGGCTGCCTCATGACCCTGACCCCGTGTACCAGGGACTGTCCGTGCCATGGACCCCCTGCACCAGGGACCCTCTGTGCTGGGACACCCCTGTGCCAGGGACCCTCTGTGCTGGGACACCCCAGTGCCAGGGACCCTCTGTGCTGGCACATCCCTGTGCCAGGGACCCTCTGTGCTGGGACATCCCTGTGCCAGGGACCCTCCAAACTCGGGGCATCCCATTCTGGGGACCCTCCGAGCACAGGGGACCCTCTGTGCCAGGGGTCCCTTGTGCACAAGAGACCCCCTGACCCCACACACGAGTGACTCTCCATGCCAGGGTCACCCTGCACCAGGGACCCACCACACCCAGGACCCCCCCCATGCCCAGAGTGTGGGATCCCCCTGCCCAGGGCACACCCCACTGATGCCCCCTGCCCACAGTCAGCAATGCCGGGGTGGGCATGGCGGGACCCCTGGAGTGCCAGAGCCTGGCGGCCATGCAGAGCCTCATGGACACCAACTTCTTCGGCCTCGTCCGCCTGGTCAAGGAGGTGCTGCCCGACATGAAGCGGCGCCGCGGGGGCCACATCGTGGTCATCAGCAGCATCATGGGCCTGCAGGGTAGGGGAAAATGGGGTGCCCTGGGGGGGAGCAGCCCCCGCCCAGCCCTGACTGGAGCTCCCCAACCATCCAGGCATCGTTTTCAATGACATCTACTCAGCCTCCAAGTTCGCGGTGGAGGGTTTCTGCGAGAGCCTGGTGGTGCAGGCGCTGCGCTTCAACGTGGCGTGAGTGCGGGGGCAGGCGGCCGTGCGGCCACCAGGGACACGGGTCTGGCAGTGCCCAGTGCCCAGTGCCCAGTGCCCCATCCCTGGGCAGGATCAGCCTGGTGGAGCCGGGGCCGGTGATGACGGAATTCGAGATGAAGTTGTACGAGGAAGCCAAACGCGCCGACTACTCACGGACCGACCCCGAGACGGCCGAAATCTTCACCAATGTCTACCTGAAGAACTCCAGGGATGTGTTCACCAGCCTGGGCCAGACCCCTGAGGACATCGCAGAGGTGACAGACGGGCAGGGGGCCCCAGCGGGCTGGGGGTGCCCTGCTGGGCTGGGCTGGACAGAGGTGTTAATTAATTAGCCCTAACAAGGAACGGCAATGCCCAGCCAGCAGCGGGGCAGCTCACACCCAGACAGCTCCATCCTGATGGGGCTGAGCCTGGCTGGGAATGGGAATAGGAATGGTGGTGGGATGGGAATGTGCATGGGATGGGAATAAGATGGGAAGGAAGTAAGGATGGAGATGGGAGGAAATGGAATAGGAATGAGAAAGGATGGAGACGGGGTAGGATGAGAAGGAGCTGGGGATGGGATAGGAATGGTGATGGGGTGAGGTGGGATGGATTAGAGATAGGATGGGTAAGGCTTAGGGATGGGGATAAGAAGTGAATGAGAAGGAGATGGGATGGGAATGGGGATAGGAGGAGAATGGGAAGAGAGGGGATGGGAATGTGAGTGAGGATGGAGGTGCAGATGGAGGTGGGATGCAGACGTGGTTCTGGGGGATGGGTGAGGGACAGGCGTGGGATGGGAACTGTGGTGGGCCAGGGTGGGACTGTGGGGACAAGAAGGGGAGGACAGTCCCGTGCCCACGTGCAGCACACCCTGCGGGTGATCGAGGCGGCGCGGCCGCCGTTCCGGCACCAGACCAACGTGGCGTACACGCCGATGGCCGCGCTCAAACACGCCGACCCCAGCGGCGCCCTCATCACCGACGCCTTCTACAAGCTGGTGTTCAAGTACGACGCCGTGCTGCGCTTCGGCCTGCGCGCCATCCGCCTGCTCCGCTGGAACGCACAGAAGGTCAAGGCGGGCGTGCGGCTCCTGGGCTTTAAATAAGCCCTGGCGGCCCCTGGGCACAGCCCAGCCCGTCCCAGGGATGGGGACAAGAGGGCCGGGACCCGTGCAGGGTTTCGCTTCCCGTTCCCGGCCTGAAATAGCTCCCGCCGCCGCCGCATTAAAATGGGGAGGGTATTTATAACCGGTGCCGGGTGAGCAACGCAGAGCAGCTTCCTCCGGGAGTGCAGAGGCCGTGACAGAGCTGGAAGGGCTGGCAGCTGCCCCCTGCCTGCCACCTGCTCCCCAGGGGCACCTGTACCTCTGACTGACGGGCGTGTGACACCCAGGGGACCTCAGCCCGTCACCCCCAAGAGCTGCATCCTCCTTCCTCCAGGCGCTGCTGTGGGTTGGGAATGTCCCATGGGTGGAGGGCCCTGTGTCACCTCTGCCCGGGCACTGGGGCAGCACAGGGGGTGCAGGGGGTGTTGGGAGGGCAGAGAGCAGGGGGACAGGGGTGCTTGGTGTGTTCAGAGGGGCACGGGGGGTATTTGGGGTGCAAAGGGGGTGCAGGGACTGGTGCAGAGTGGGGGTGGGATGTATGATAAAGGCTGGGTACAAGGTGGGTGCAGGGGTGCCCAGCAGCTCACTCTGCCCCAGGGACTCCCCTCCAGCTCCCGGTGGGTGACAGTGGGGTGGGTTCACCCCGGGCGCTGGCGTGTCGGTGCTTGGCGTGACAGCACCGGGAGGTGAGCGCAGGGGGAAACCGCAGGAGGCCCGGCATGAATCAGCTCGGCTGCTGAGAAACCTTCCTGGCTCCCCCCGCGCTCCCTGGCACAGCCCCCGGAGCCCTGGAGAGACCCCCCGGCCTCCCGTGCCAGGGCTGGATGGCAGCGGCTGCAGCTCCGTGTGCCTCGCACGTGGTCCCAGGGACCGCGGGCACAGGATGGAGGTGGGGAAGGAAATATTTTTGCATTATCCCCCCCTTCTCGCACGAGTTAATGGCAAAGCAGTGGTGGGACCGTGTCCCCGGGGTGATGGCAGCACCTGTGGGACGTGCAGGGGTGACATCAAAGCGGTGACAGTGTCGCTGCCTCCCCCCGCTGCGGTTTCTGCAGATTTGACTAACTTTCTCCGCTTGGGGGGCAGGATGGGGGTGGAGGGGGGGGGGGGGTAGGCGTGACTCTGCCCGGCCCCGGGGAGCAACAAGGGGGGCCCCGGTACGAAGCCACAGCTGTGGGAAACCAGGCTGAGGGAGGACAGGACCCCCCTCATACACCCCCAGCCCCACGGTGTCCCCAGTGCCCGGGGGAGCAGCAATGGGGCTGCTGCTGGGGGAACTGGGGGCAGCAGGATGAGCCCCAGCCCTGCTCCCAGCCTTGCTCACGGCAATCCCGGGCAGAGAGAGGGGGGACCACGGAGCTGCTGAGGGTGAGGGGATCCCCAAGCCGAGGGGAGCCCCTGAGTTATGTTTGAGGCTGAGGAGCATCACCTCCCGCCTGGAGCATCCTCCGTGGCCGAGCCCAGGGCCCCTATCCCGGGGCGCCGGGGTGGAGGCGCTGCCGCAAGGGCCGGAACCGTGAGGGTTGGAAGTAGATTCTTCTAAAAACAATCGTCTGCTGGGACTTTCCTGTCGCCAGCGTGTGACAATTGCCAGCCGCTCCCCGTGTCCTCGATCCCCCGAGGATTTCGCTGCCAGGTGCCGACTCGCTGCCATGCAAATGTGGCGCCAGATATAACCGGGCTGGAGGGGCTGGAGGAGCCGGTTCGGCGGCTCCCCGGGGGCTTCACTTCCCTCCCGGCGCAGCGAGGGGGGCAGCAGGCGTGACACAAACCCGCTGTCCCCGCGGTGGTGCCCCGGTGACAGCCACGGCCCTGTCCCCGCGTGTCCCGGTGGGAGCCCCGGCGCTGCGGAGCTGCCCCGTGGCGGTGCCAGAGCTGGGGGCACTGCCAATGCCCCTTCCCGCTGAGCACAGCACGGAGCTGGCTCTGCCCACCCCCTGCCCCCCGGGTTGGGAACGCGACCCACGCGGAGGGTGGGAGAACGCGGCCAGGTCGGGCAGCGTGACTCAAAGCACGGCTGGGGAATTGGGACACCGGGGAGGTGGTGACAGTGACTCAGTCCTCCCTGTCCCCTGCCGGCACCGTCGTTTTGGGCGCAGGAGCCGGCCGGGATGCTCCAGGGATGCAGAGCAGCAGCCGGAAGTTTGATGGGATTTTTTGTGCATGAAGAAGCGAGTTTCAACACGACGACAGGAGAAACGAGTTCCTCTGTGCTCTATCACGATCACGGCTATCAGCAGATAAGGATCTCTCTGTCACAACACCAACTGAAGGTTTCTGCAAGCCTTTCAGGAGTTTGGCTCCAGGCGGGAGAAGGCTGAGGGGGTTTGGATCAAACCAATTCTTATTAAGGGACAAACCAGGATGGGAAGAGGCCGTGGGACTCGCTGTCCGCAGCCCCGAGCCCCCTCTGTGTCACCCAACCCAGGGGAAAGACCCCTCGGTGTTTGTGCGGCACCCGGGCTGGGAGGAAGTGAAGGGAAAAGAAAAAAAAAAAAGGATCCTCTGACTTTCTTCTCGGTTTTTTTTTTCGTTTCTGTTTCTCAAGCGTGTCCAGCTCTTGTGGCAGGAGGTGTCGGGGGGGGAATGAAACAAGCGCGAACAACGTCAGCCTGGTAAGGCAGGTGCTAAAAGGGCCGGGGGGTTGGTGTGAGCCTCCACCCTCCGCCGCCGGGATGTTTCCATCTGCCTGACACAGCCCCGGAGCCACCAACCCACCCCACAGCCCGAGCGTGGGGCTGAGCTGCCCCCACCCCGCAGCTCTCGGGTGAAACCGCTCCTCTATTAACCAACCCCGTGTCCAACACCATTTTCCAGCAGTCAGAGGAGCAGATGATGTTATTTTACACCTCTGACTGTATCAGTTACTCTGCTGAGTAACTGGTTCTGCTGAGCACAGCCTCCACCATGGCTCAGCCCCGTGGGGACACACCACAGCCACAGGTGTGCTGCTCACAGCTTCCATCACACCTTTAAGCACTAGAGCTTCATTTCTTGGTGCTAAAAGCTCCTTCCCTGAGCTTCCCCGGCCCACTCGTGAGGTGTAATTCATCAGTGAATGAAGAACCAAGCGGGACAGACACACCAAGGCACTGCAGAATGCTCCAAGCCTGTTCCAGACCAAAATAACCAAGCCATGAGCAGAATAAATCAGGCTCTGAAGCAGTACCAGTGGTTTTCCCATCTGTTTGCTCAGACAAGGTGGTTTCCAGAGCTTCTCCAAGCTTAGAGACTTGCCCTGGACCAACACAGCCCCTCAACATCCAGACATGGCCCAGTGGGATTCCCATCTCCCAAGCCAGGGCAGCACTGTGGGACAGGGGTGAATGATCAGGTGTGAAGGGAAAATTCATGTGTATTCTTTAATTAATCCAATCCACTTATGGAGAATCAGATTTTTGGATGGCTCTAGGAGATCTCTCTCTGCTGATTCCTTTAAGAACCTGCCTTTGCCTGCCCTCAAGTCAGGACATCATCATTATTTAAATATTTTATTCATTTATTGACAATTCTTTGGTCTTGAAAACTAAGCCGTTGAAAAGCAAGCTCGTCACAAAATTAGAAATTGATAAAGACAACCACAATGTCCTAAAAATGTCGGACTTAGAAATGTCAGGGCAGCAGTGAAACCTTCTCTTTGTTCTCTGGGAATCCTCTCACCCCCCTTCCCTCTCTTTTCTGGACCCAAAAGCTTGGCCCTTGGGGCTGATCCTTGGTGGAACTGCAGCCTCCCTCACAGGTGGAGCATTGCTCACATTGTGAGCATTGGTGGAACATTGGTCACAGGCAGAGCATTGGCCACATTGGGACACAGGTGTTCACTTGGGGAGAGATAACACGCACTTTTCTCATGATGGAGCTCTTGGAAACATCCTAAACCTGCTTTACAGCTCCACACATAACAGCAGAAGAGTTCTTAAGCCTAGGGATAGCAGGATCCTGGATTAGCACTTCCACAGCACTCTGGATACTCAGACACACTGCAGGCTGATTTATCCCTCTCCAGATCCACCTTTAGTGGGAAACATGAGTATAATTTTCTTATTTTGTACCTTAAAATTCAGGGAGGAAATAATTAAGCCCAAAGAATTCAGAGGGAGGGATGAATTTCGGTACTTCTCGACCCTCATCTCTTCAGCCTTCCCTCAGGGAAGTGACTGGATCACCAGGGATAACACAAAAGCAACACAGCTCTCAAACCACACAAGAGATGCAGAAAGTCCATCAGAACACTCCTAACTATGGGATACAAAAATATTTTGCAAAGACTAAACCTTCACTCAGCAAAGCCCTTACCAAACCCCTCTGGAGTACCAGGGACACCAACACAGCTGCAGGGCCATGGGGAGATTCCAAGGGCTGTTGTAAAAACCAGTTCAGAGGGATGGCACCTGCTCAGGGCGTGGAGCAGCACCTCCCGAGGGCTGTCCTGGTCTGGCTGTGACTCTCACACCCCTGCCCGGGGTCTCACCTGTCCACAGCCAGCCAGGGCCACCCTGTGGGGACACGGATGGCACGGCCACATGTCCTGCTGCGGGAGCAAGGCAGAGGCACAACACACAGCACAGATTCATCCTCATTCTTGGCACCCATCAGAAAGGAGGAGTTTCCAGCAATGAAAATCGGGATTTCCTCCAGGCCACATGGATGAGCCAACCTGTGACCTCACTGGGTATCCCAAAAATATGCACTGTTAAAAAATCCCAACTCCAAATAGGTCTCATTTCTTATTTTCCTCTTACTGAGTAACTTTAAAGAAAGTCAGCAGTGGGGTAAGAAAAGTGAAAGTGTGCCACACTCTTGTTAGGGCTTAGGGGAAAAGCTTTAAAGAGGAATTAATAATCCCTCCCTTTTCTTGTCCTCATTTTCCTTGTTTTGGTGATGAGCCACTGGAGGCCATTGGGATTATAACTAGGAAAAGCTCCTCCAACACACCTCTGACTATTCACCTGAATGAGCAGGGGAATTGGCATGAAAACCTTTTGTGCTGACTTAAAGCAAACTCTATAAAAACAAACACAAGTTAAAAATTGAAAACATCGTAAATGACTCTGAAGTTTCACAAAAATAAAGTTCATATCAAAAACAGTCTCTGCTCCTGGTGTTACCCACAGTCCCCCTCACCACAGCAGCCAGGCAGAGATGCTACAGAACACTGAATTATTGAGAAAGACAAATTTAAAAAGGCGCCACCTCCTCGTGACACACTTAAAACTGGCCTAGAAAAATACTGAAGAAATTTCATTATACTAATTAAAACGCCGACCAACCTCCCCTCCGATGGCAAACGCAGCCTTGACCTTGGAGAACCGGTCCTTTCACTTGAGCACGACTCTGTGCTCTCCCCGAGCTATGTGCGAGGAGAACTCGTAGCGGTCGTGGCTCCGGTAGCCGCAGACGTTGCACTCGAAGGGGTCGCGGAAGCCGTGGCAGCCCATGTGGATGGTGAACATCACGTAATCCAGGAAGAGCACGCGGCAGTGGTCGCACCGGTACACCCCGATGGCCTCCCCTTCCTTGTTGATGACCTTGAAGGCGTCGCGTGGGCAGATGGCGGGTGGCTTGATGATGTCGTACGGCCTCGGGAAATCCTTCAGCGCCTGGAGGCCGTTGCGGCTCGGAGCTGGGATCACCTGGCTCTGGTGGAAGGCGGGATTGGGCCTCTCCTCGTGGTTGCTGTCAGTGTCTGTGGAGTCGTGGCCGCTGTTGTTCGGGGAAAGGCCCCTGTCGGATGAAAGGCTCTTGTCCCTGAGGTGGCCGTGGCTCTTCTCGGCCTCGGGCGCGGTGCCGTTGGGGACGTCGGCGCGGGGCAGCGGCAGCGGGTACAGGCTGCTGATGACCGGCACCATCTCGGCCGTGGGCGCCGGCGGGGTCTGCACCAGCGGCCGCAGGGCCTCGGCCCCGAGGTAGGTGATGGCGTTGTTGATGGCCTGGTCCATCATGCGCCCGTGCATCATCTCGCTCTCCTTTTCGTACAGGAAGCTGGAGTTATAACTGACATCGAAGCTGGGTCGTTTCTCACCTGGGAGAGATGAGAGGTGATAATTACCTGAGTGGGTAAAGAGCTGTTTAAACCCTGTGATGATTCTTCTAAAGGGTAGAAATCTCTGGGAATGGGGGATGATATGTTCTCTGCTGAAAGAGGCTTTTCTTAGACACAAGTCGCTTTTGGGTGGGGTATATTTTTATTTCATATTTTTTTAAAATCTCAGACTTAGAAGCAAGCCAGTCTAATAAAGGAGATGGTCAGGGTACTTTCTGAGAGATTCATCTTTGACAAGTCCTAGGACACTGAAGTCAGTTTTCCTCACTGCTTTGACAACTACATTTCCTCTGCACCACGTCTGGCTTCTTGGACCTCTACACAGGTATTCAGGTAATCTAATATTGGCAGATATAAATATAGATATAAACCCCCCACAGTTAAGGTCACTTGATACAGGGTTAGTGAAAAAAAAAAAGTTTTCCTCTGGGCATGCTGGGGCTTGGAAAGCTCTGGGCTGGACAAAAGTGGAGGAGAGTGCACCTGGAATTCTGCTCACACCTCTCTGGGCAGCACAGTACAACTCCTGTTCTCTGTGCCAGCTGCAAGGAGGAAATAAACTGCACCCCAAAAGCACTAAAGACATTTTGGAGGTGAATGTCTAGAAATAAGTAACTGAATTCTGTGGTTACTAAAAGTATAAATTTGTTCATAGCTTTAAAAAAATACAAAAAAAAGACCAGATGAAAGCTTTCACATGCAAGTGACTCGCAAACATTAGATCCACGAATCTCTTAGTTACTGTAACTCGACTGGTGCAGATGTTTATCAGTCACCTGTCAACACCGTGACTCAATGTGTATGAAACTCACGGGGTTTCACTGCAGAGGCAGAAAACCAGGAGCTCACGTTTCTCTTCTAAAACACTCCAAAAGGTTAACGAACCACAGGAGTATAACTGCTTCCAGCCCGCAGCACCACTTGCCGTCCAGCTTCAATGGAAGGAAACAAAATGCTGCAGTACTTTTGGGTGACTCATAAAACCAGCTCCAGCCAAGTGAAAGATGTGAATAAATTGGAATATAAGAAGGAAAAAAAAAAAACAAACCAACAAAAAATAGACGAGGCTCTCTATAAACTTTGGTGTTGAGTCACTGTTGGAAAGTGAGATAGAAAAACACAATGTATGATCATAGGGTTGGGGAATATCCTGAGTTGGAAGGAACCCCCAGGACCATTGAGTCCAGCTTCTGAATGATCACTGAGGGTCTCACAGTGCTCTGTGATTCCACTGTCCTGGTGGATTTTAAGGTCCACCACGAAAAGGCTCTGACGAGGGGCCTGGTGCAGAGGTGAAGAGTCAAATGCAGGGTGTGGTGGTCCCTGCCTTTGTGTGGGACTTGTACTGGTGCACACGAGGCAGCTACTGGGGATGGAAATGTGAAAAATAAAGTGGGTGAGACTCCTGGTGCTTGTCTGAATCTCTGCAGAGCCCTCCAATTATAATAAACGGGTTTTTCTTTCTATCAATAGACTTCATTCAGAGAAATGAGCCAAACAAAGATGCCTTGTTAGTGTATATCCCTGTCCCTGCTTCCTGACTAAATGAGGCATCAGCACTCATTCCCAGATTTCCCAAAGAATCTCTGCACTGGCCTGGCAGATCCAAGCTCTGACAGGGACAGGTCAGAAAGGCACAGGAGTCAGACCAAGGTCGGACAGCCTGCTCCTGAAAACATCCTTCCCAGGAATACAGAGGACTGAGAGGGGAATGTTTGCACATGCAATTTAACAAGAAAAATCACAGAAGTCCTAGAAAAACAGCAAGTTTCAAAAATTGGTTATTTTGTGCCTTTTGGTGATCTGTGATGGTTTCTCCAGCTTCTCCACACAATCACCTGTGTGTGCAGTGCCAGTTCATGCCATCCAGTGCTAGCACAAATCCCAGAGGATCTGGGCCACACAGGAACTCACTGGCTCACAGAGGAAACCCCAAACCCACCCATTCTTCACGTTAGGCTTATGCTGAGGGGGTGCATCCTGCTGCAGACGTGTTTAATAAAATACATAAAGGTCAAACTGGTGGTGATTGCACAATGAGAGAGCTGAAAAAATGCTAAAATAGAGGAAGCTAAAGGATTACAAACCCATTTGCATTAGTATTGCTTTTGGAACCAAAGCAATA